GAGACCCGTGGATTCGATATTTATTACTTGTGCCACTATACTGCAGTCCATTTCATTGGTTACACTTGGCCATTGTTAGGTGTTGTGTTTTAGCGTGTCAATGCCCCCCACCGCTTTTACTTTCTGTCTTTTTTAATTATATATACATAATAATACGTATACTTATTCGAGCGATCGATATTTTGATTTTTGTCGAAATTCTATCAAAACACTCGATTTTAATCGCGTAATTTTTAGCAACAAAAAATATGGTTTTAGCCGGAATGGGATGTTACACTATCGTTCTAGGTTAAAGGCGTAAACTCACTCTACTTAAAGGTCTTATAGGTACTTATTCAAGTATGGGAGGGAAGATGACCCAGGAATCACAAGAATTCGATCATGACTCATGCAATTTTGAATAATGCCTCAATTGAATATATCAAGTCAATCATCCACAAGACAGGGTTCATACAACCATTCCTAACATACACGACTAGGGTTCTTCATACCCATATGAAAAGAGAGTTTACTCCATGGAGAGAAGAGAAGTCATCATGTGAGGGATGAGAATCTGCTCCAAGATGGAAATCGACACTGTGAAGGTGAAAGATCGAGCTCCAATGTCCTTAGATAGCTCAAATCCTTTCCCAAGGTTGTTCTTCGTCGCTTTCTCTCTCTAGGGCTCTCTCTTGATGTTGAGAACTTGGAAATCGGATAAGTGGCCAAAAAACCCGAAAGTCTCTTTTAACAACCTCATCTCAGATTCCCCGACCCTATTCCCCAAAAGGGTATTTCACCTCTGACCCGGTCTGGTCAGAGAAATACCCGATTGGGGATTGTCATCAGCACACTGGGAATTATCTCTTGTTTTTATCCCCGGGTGAACTTCGAGATACTCGTCCATATAATCAAGACCCCAGGTCGGGTAATATGCCTGGCGATGACACTTTCGCCCATAGTCTCCAAATTTCCCGAAAGCCCATAGTCTCCAACTTGCCCGAAATCAACTCCAAGGCCTTCTTCTACATACAAGGTCCTGAAACACCACACATACACACAACCTAGCGTAAAATATGCCAAGGAGCACACAAAACCAAGCTAAAACGATCAAGAATTTAGGGGGAAAACATGTGCAAATACGGTGTTATCAATCGCCTCAAGTTGTATTTGGGAGGTAAGGTAGAACATGCGCCTTTTTGAACCTTGATTAAAATAGTGGTAATAGAATGGGTAATCGAGTATGACAAGTAGAAAGATCGACTCTAACTAGTTGAAGAAAAGTCAAAATAGGAGAAATATGTATAAATACTGTAAGGAATTGAGATATAATGGGCCAAGAACGGGGCGGGGCGGGGAAGGGCGGGTTAGAAGTAGATAACCACGCCCCGCCCCACGCTACTGTGGGACGGGTAATACCCGCCCCATCGCGGTTCAGGTCAGTTATTACCCACGGGTTGGGTTCAAATTTCCATCACTATTGTCTTCCGAAGGGGCTTCCATCTACGAAAAGTGATCTACACTGACATTATTGGCTCCCTTCTTGTCCCGGATCTTGATATCAAATTCCTGCATCAATAAGATCAAGCGGATGAGCTTAGACTTGGCATCGACCTTGGTCATCAAATAATTGATAACAGAATGATCCGTGTAAACTGACACATGAGACCACACCAGATATGGTCGGAATATGTGGAAGGCGTACACCACTACAAGCAGCTCCTTCTTCGTGGTGGTGTAGTTCTCATGTGCATCATTTAGGTTCTTGGACACGAGTAGATAGGATGGAAAATCTTGTCACGTCTCAGTCTCAGAACGGCTCCGACTGCGTAGTCACTCGCATCGCACATCAGTTCAAATGACATATTCCAATATGGAGTCACCAGTCACCATGATGGGTGCATAGGTGAGCTTCTCCTTCAAGGTCTCAAAGGCAGATGTGCACTCTAGAGTGAACTGAAATGACACATCCTTCTCGAGTAGCTTAGTCATAGGTAAGGCGATCTTCGAGAAATCCTTGATGATTCTCCTGGAGAATCTTGTGTGACCTAGAAAGCTTCGGATCCCCTTCATTGAAATAGGAGGAGGTAGCTTACTGATCATCTCAATCTTCGCCCAATCTACCTCAATCCCCTTCTTGGAAATCTTGTTCCCGAGCACAATCCCTTTCAAGAACCATGATGTGGCACTTCTCTTACCTGAGTGTCAAGTTTATCTCCTCACACCTCTTTAGGACAAGTTCCAGGATATGGAGAGTTTGGAGACAATAAGAGAATGAGTCTCCATAAAATGAGAAGTCATCCATGAAGACTTCCATAATGTCTCCAAATAGTCAGTCGAATATTGCCATCATGCATCGCTGGAAGGTTGTCGGTGCGTTGTAGAGACCATAAGGAATCCATAGGCATGCAAAGGTGTTGAAGGGGCAGGTGAAAGTGGTCTTCGCCTGATCCTCTAGAGGTATCAGAATATGAAAATACCTGAACATGCCATCTAGGAAGCAGTGGAACTCATGTCCCGCAAATCTCTCCAACATTTGATCAATAAACGATAGCGGGAAATGGTCTTTCCTGGTGGCGTCATTCAAGCAGCGATAGTCAATGCAAATGCGCCACCCAGTCATTCTGCCTTTCTTTGGGACCACCTGAGTGGAGCTAAACCACTATTGTCGGAGGTGGCGAAGATGATTATTGCGTCCATCCGCTTGATACTCTTGGCCCAGACCACTGCATCCAGATTGGGAGTCCACCTCTGTTGCGGCTACCTTACTGGCCTGACCTCATCTTCCATTAGAATCTTGTGGGAGCATAAGGAGGGAATGATCCCTCTGATGTCTATGATCTTTCAAACCATATCACAGGCTACTAGACTGCCTTTCTGCTCAAGGGTCAATTTCGAGTTGATGATGACTGGCAGCTTATCACCCTTCCCCGGATATGCATATTCCAGGTCATTGGGGAGGAGGTTAAGCTCCAACTCGGATGACTCCTCCAGCGAGGTGGTGATAAGCACCAATGAAGGGATCGACTTGAACGGCTTTTTGCGCCCTAGGATTGCAGCTTCGTCTAGTGTTGCCAGCTGCTCCTTTTGCTGCAGTTGTTGTGATGTATGTTTCCCTAGCAAAAGACAACACTCAAGGGAATCATCAGTATCCGCACTCGTGATGGGGAGTGCAGTCTCAAAATCAGCAAGCACATCATAGTAATTCAAATAATCATACAAGTGGGGGTGTTTTAGATTATCAGCAACAGAAAATGTAATTTGTTCACACCTAGTCCGCAAAATCAGCTTGCCATCATTAACATCACTCAGTGCCTTGGCGGTGGCAAGAAAAAGTTTACCCATAATTAAAGGCACATCCACATCCTCATTAATATAAAAAAAATTACAAAATCAACAGGATATGAAAATGGCCCTACTGTGGCAATCAAGTCCTCTACAATGCCTCTAGGATGCACAATGGAATGAACAGTGACTCACTCCGACTACCACAATTATAAAATCCCGACTAGAGCCCAAGTATAAACTCTAGAAGGATGAAGTATAAGGCAAGCATTTTAATTGTCAACCCAGACCGATCCATGTACCCGTACTTTAATCGCTTAGGTTGTTATCTAGCAAACGGTTTTGAGTTTAAAACTAAGAAAACTACAAAATAAACAGCAAGTTAAGTAAATTGTGGTCAATTCTACTTGAGAGAACTTCACCCGAGTATTGCTCCCCCTAGTCTCATATTAAGATACAATGAACGAAATTCTAGTGTGAATGATGTTTTTATATACCGTGAGGTGGGTGCAACTAGTTAGGAAACCCTAACTCTCTTAGTCTACCAATTAAGGAATGCAACTATGAGCTAGGTAACCTAGCTTGCTTAACCATTCGGCCAAGGATTGCAACTAAAAGCTAGAAAATCTAACCCTCCTAACCAATCAACCAAGGATTGCAAGAACCAATCCCTCGGAAATTAATCCGGACGGCGGATAGCGACCAATCACGATGGAATCATGGCACTAATCCGATATTTGAGGTTTTCCCTCATTTTCCTAGATGGGTGACAAACATTGGCCGAGAAATCCAGCTTCTCAAAGCCTCTAACAAAAGGGGATTCTCTCCACCTAGGTCAGAATGACCCAATTATGAGTTAAACCTAGCAACATTCAATCATTCATGAATAATACCTCAAATATTATATAAAACATACAATCAACACACATAAAGTCATTTTCTTACATCCTAGCACACATCTAGACTAGGGTTCACAATACCAAAGTGAGAGAGATCACTACTCCATAGCTAGGCAAGGGAATAGAACAAAGATGAAAGAAAAAACCATGGTGTGGTGACTATCCTACTTTTTGCTTGAATCAACCATGAGAGAAGAAAACCTTCAAACCTCTAGCTTAGGGAAAGCCCAAATCTCCTTCTTCTTCCTTTGGTTCTTCACTTTCTCTCTCTTAACAACAATAAGAAGATCTCTCTTTCTCTCACTAGAATTCTTCCTTCCTTTTTTTGGGTTTCTTAGATGGAACCCTAGAAGGGAACCCTGAAAATCGGGCATAATGTCACGACCGTGACATTGGACAAAAAATCATGTCTCTGGTGCCGTTTTGGTCCGACTTCACAATCTACTTGCAATTGTCACAATCTAGTGACCATGACAAACTTTAAGCTCGGGAGATGTGAAGACCTTTCTAATTCTGGTCAAATGTCACGTCCTGGGATCAATTGTCACGGCCCAGAGACCGTTACAATTACCTCACACCCGTGACTTTTGATTGTTCTTCACTTTTGTCGCTTTTCAACCTCCAATCGTCCTAAAACTCGTCCTCGACCTCCCCACACGTTCTAGGACCTGAAATGTAATAGAAATAGCAAAACCTAGCGTAAAATAGGTCTAGGGACAATGAATTATTGCAAACTCAAACTATTAAGAAATGAAGGCTAAAATATGTGTAATTAGCCCCGAATCAAACAACCAACTATATGGTCATCCTAGTATCATACTGGGTTCACCTAGGACTAGCTACTTAAATAGTTTATATGGCATCACATTTATGCTAGCGTCTAAGTACTCACCGGGATGCATAATATGAACATGAAAATGAGAAAGAATCACTCACTTTCGACCAGTGGGGTCAGAACCATTTGATGCAAGAGATGTGCATAATCAATACTTAGCCCTATCGTCTCTTCACCATGATGGTAACCTTTGAATGTTAGATCTCGCAAGATGGTTGTCGTCACTAGCTTGCTCGGAGGTCTTAGACACGAGTTCATATGACTAGCTATTGTCTTGGACATGTGGAAAAGGCTTTTTGGGTAGTAGAAACATAGCTTGAGGTTCCAAATCTTCAACCTAAAACCAACACAAGGTTTTATGGTTTCGACTAGAACCTTTTCCTACAAGCAATGGCCAATAGCTTCGGCTAAAAACTACACTTCCTCAATTCCAAACCTCAACAATCCTGAACGACATTCAAATACACTTTCTCTGCTATACCTGGTATCCCATTTTTAAGCATTGTAGTGAAGGAGGTCAACAAACAAGTAGGTGTTTCAAAAGGTTGAGAGCCAAGAAACACCTTTCTAGCGCATACACATCAACTTGGTGGCAACTCTCTATCTTTTATTTACTCCTTTTTTTCCCTCTTTTTCACTTACATTTCTTCCTTTCTTTTCCCCCCTTTCCTTCCTTTTCTTTCAAATTTTTTCGAGGGGAGTACTAGAGAGCTAAACACATGCCACCCTTTAAACTTACGAACAATGCTCACCATTAAGAACTTCCTCCAACACTACCTTTTTATTCGTACCAAGAACCGTGCAAAACTCACCTATGTAGAACTTCGATGGAACTCAAGTAACGGGAGCTCCGAGACACAAGGATGACTCACAACGGTTTAGACACGAAGAAAGTAAAGGGTCACTCTATCAATCTCAATTAAGCTCAAGTACAAAAGCTCCTAAAATGAGAACGACCCTAAGTCACACATCTCAAAAGGGGTTGACTAGGGGATATAAAGAGAATCAAATTTTTGGTGCATGGACTAATCCTATGCCTCCATCTTCCTCGCTAATGACAACATGAATGCTAAGCTACCATCATGGTAAGAGGGATATTTCACACATGAAAAAGATGATCGACACAAATCTCACACAGCTACCTAGCCACTCAAACATCCATTCCAATTTCAAAAAAACTCGATGCATGGCAATAGCAATCAATGAGTATTCAAGTCAAGGAATCCATCCATTTGCACATATATGAGAACTTATCACTTGCACCGACCTAATTCAATTTTCAATCATCATAATAGGATGCACTCAATCGCAAGTAATCAATCCAAAGTCAATGACAATAAACACAAGATTCTCCAACAACCAGCCACAATGAACATGCGATGCTTAGAGCCCACAATTTTTAAAAAATTTGGGCATACATCTAGGATCAAAGAACTCAATCACACACACAAGCATAATAAACTACCCCCCCCCCCCCCACACACACACTTAAACTCGACATTGCCTTTAGTGGCGTAAAATAAGGAGGTAGAATGATGTTACCGCATATCTTGGCAAGTAAAAGTCGGGACAGAATTGGGCCAGAGATGAAGAGGAGAGAGCTTCAAGGAGACAAAAACAAAAAACAAACAAACACATACCCGCGCAAGGTGAGGTTATTACACAAGAATAGTACTTAACATAAAAACCAACACAAACCTAGGTTGGGTTGCCTCCCAACATGCTCTACTTTTACGTCATAAACTAGACAGTACTCCTTAAGCCTCGGTCCAGACTAGGACCTCCTTCAAGTTGAGGTTCCCGTTGTCTAGGTGGAGCCTCAAGTCATGAGCATATGGAATAGTAGATGATGACGACTTATGGACTTGAGTAAGTTGAAGCCTCCACCCTTGAGACCTCTCTTCTCTTTTTCTCTTTTCTCTTTGCCCCGAACCGCATAAAACATAACAAACACTCCATCACCTCATCCATCAAGGAATAATGATGATGGCGTGGTCTTTGTCGAGCAAAGAGTGATCACAAAAGGATCTTTGATAAGAAATTCCTTGAAGTTTGGTGGAGATTTCAAAATAATCTCATGGCCGATGTAAGCCACTACCACCAAGACTTCCTCCTTCATACGAAAACCATTTGCTTCATCCAACTCCTTGCCTTCTTTATATTTATCCTCTTGGGGATCCTCAATAAATTCCTCTTCATTTGCTTCTACCACCTCCACAACTTCTTCTCTCATCTTCCATCGCTCTTCCGCAAGCATGCATTGGATAGCAAATTTCCAAGCAATGTATTCGATTGACTCGACCCTCATCTCCTCATTAAAAACCTCCTTTTTAACGCTTAAAAGGAAGTGCGAAAGAGCGATGGTTACCTCAAGAGGACATTTGACTCACTTCTACTGTCACTCCAGGAATTGGCCAAGTGAAACCACTTCCTAAAGCGTAGTATAGCGGGTTTAGGTTTAAATGTCAACCCGGGTCCTAGATTTGAGGACTACTAAGTGAATTCTTGTTATCTAGCAATGAAACTTTAATGCAAGTCTAAACTAACAAACTAACAAAGCAAGTAAACGGTTGTATTCAGGTTAAGAGAGGTCACCCGGATATGGTTCCCCCTAGACTGCAGTTAAGCCAGATTGTAATTACTAAGTTCAGTTTCTATGATAGTTATACTGCGGAAGGTTCTTAAACAGCCTGAAGTCTCGACTAAAGGTCTTCAGACCCTCTCAATCTGAGTCTCTAGCGGGCGACTAACCTCCACCGGAGTAAACAGATTGAGGCCTTAACAAACAAAACCTCCACTACCGGAGTGAATCCGGTACACAATAGTGAGTTGGCTCCTCGACTAAAGTCACCAACTCCCTACCTTCAATCAAGGATGCTCTATCAACCTAGGCAGATATTCTCATTCTAGGTCAAAGCAGAAACAATAGGAATTTGATCAGGATTCATGGCATTCAATCATTCAAACCTCAATCGAATATAATCAAATCATAGAATCAGTACTTCGGTTCATACAATCAAAGCCTAGCATACAAATCTAGGGTTCTCCATACCCAGATGAATGGGAGAACTACTCCATGGAGAAAGAAGCAAAAGCAGAATCAGACGCGGAATTCATACTGTGAAGGATGGATTCCTGCTCCTGGACGTTGATCGGCACTTCTCCAAGCTCAAACTGGCCTCCAATGGTGTTGAAGATCAAGCTAGGGCACTTGGAGACTCTTATTCGTCGCTTTCTCTCTCTAGGAATCGCTCTGTCTCTCTAAAACTCGAATCCTCTTCTCTTTGGCTGAAAATCTGCTTAAAAGGGCATCAGTGGCCAAAGCACGGTCGAGGGCACGGCCGTGCTTTGGCTAGGGTTAATTACACGGCCAGTGCATTGGGAGAAACACGGGCGTGTTTGATGATGGACACGGCCGTGCTTTGGTGGCCACGGCCGTGCTTTGTCTAAGCCCTGCCCGTGTTTTTAGCCAATGTTTGCCAAACTCGAATTTGCTCTCGGCAGTAAAAGCACGGCCACAGAACACGGTCGTGTTCTGTTTTAGGTCTGCCCGTGTTTTGGCTCCAGCTCGACGAAATGACTTCCGAATGCCCCGAAACTCGTGCTTAGCCTTCCCTTTGACGCATGGGACCTGAAATATGACAAAATAGCACAACCCGGCGTAAAATAGGCAAAAAATACACGACTATGCCCCTCAAACGGATAAGAACTAGGGGCGCAAATATGTGCAATTACATCGTTATCAAATTCCCCCACACTTAACCGTTTGCTTGTCCCCAAGCAAACCAAGTCAGACACAAGGTAAGCTCAACAACAAGGCATGACATATCGGCACCAAACACGTGGATCATACTGGCTTTCGATCAGTAACACATGGACAACTTCAATGACAACCTAGACAACCACCACAGATGACATTCGAATGCAGTAAAATCGAGCAAAGGAAGAGTCTCCCTTCTATTCACCAACCAACATAGACTTGACTCAACCACTTGTTCAAAACAGTCACATCATGCACAAAGTTCAAGATATCAGAAGTAAGACCGAGCAATCTAGGTCCTTACCGGGATAAAGAGTATAGAGAATAAGAGAAAATGAATCGCTCACTCTCGACCAGTGGGGTCAGGACAATATGATGCGAAAAATGCGCATGCTTAATCTCTCAATCCCTAACATCTCTTCATCATGAATGCAGCCTCTAAGTGCTAGAGTTCACATATGGGGTGTCATCACTAACTAATCCGGAGGTCTTAGACACAGGTTCAGATGACTGGCTAGGGTCTTGGACATGGGGAAAAGGCCTTTTAGGTGGTGGAAGTATTCATACAGCACAAGGTTCCACATTTCCTAACCCAACAGACTCACAACCAATCAAACCAATAACTTTCTTTCTGTTATTCTGCATTACTCAAGTTCAGAGCACAAGAGCGAAGGAGGTTACATAAATGCTAGTATTTCTAAGCCAGACTGCTAAGAAACACTACTACATGGGCATTAATCAGTTTTTTGGTGGTGGCTCTCTTTTGCTTTCTTTTTTTCTTTGATTTTCTTTCATTATTTTTCATTTCTTAAGAGAACCACCGCCTCTGCACATTTTCAAACACCTGCCCAACTTTTAAGCACTACCTCCAACCCTCACATTACATTTAGTAGAAACAACAGAGAACATGTAAAAATCACTCTGTGGAACCTTCTAAAAGATGCAAAAGGGTGACTTTTCATTGAAGACCGAAAGAAAGGAAAACACACGGCTCAAAGGGGCTGACTAGGGGTATGACACACTAGGACAGTCAATTTGGTCGTGGGCTAATCCTATGCCTCCATCATCTTAGCTAATGACAACGTGAATGCTGCACATCATGGAAGAGGAAACTATCGCACAAGAAAGAAACGAGCAGGCTCAAATCTCACATGGCTACCTATATGCTCTATCTCTCGTTCTGATTCCCTGAACTAGATGCATAAATGACTGTCAAAAGCAAGTGATCAAACCAAGTCACATTTGGTGAGTAGACAGTTGAAAAACTGTACCCCTACACAATTCTACTGCACATCTCAGTCATCACAATAAGTTTTCTAAGTCACACTCAAGTTGTCATGTATCAAGTCAAAAGCCATTCAATTCACTAATCACATCCACAGTGCCAATACGATCAATCATCAAGCAAACAGCCGTGCTTGGAGCCCTCAAATCTCAAGATTTGGACAGTGGACTAGGCTCCAAGCACACATATATACGTTCCAATTCATACAAAGAACCCCCCCACACTTAAACGCGACAATGTCCTCAATGGAGCAGAGGGAAAGGGAACGATGTTACCGGGAAATAGTGGTCAGGAACGTTGACTGGATGGCGGACCAGTCAAAAGAAGGAGGCACAGAGTTAGAGACAACAAAAACACACACACACTGGGTAATAGGAATCAGAGTACCAAGTCTACAATCCAAGATAAAAAAAAACAAAATGAAACGAAATCACAAAACACGGAGTCTCAGTCTGGAACACAAATAAAGCACAAAACCCGCTCTAGAAGGCATCAGCACCATCGCCGGTGGGTGGAGGGTACTCATCCTCGAACCCTGGGGACTGCACGAACGAGTAGTGGACCGCGTTCGGGTCCAAGCCCAAGTAGGACATGATGTAGTGCTGCCCCGACATGAGACGACGCCCTCGGTCCTGCTTGCGGTCAAGGCGGGTGTGGCTGCGCTCCTGGCCGGCCAGGATGCGCTCATTCTGCTGCGAGATCGCCGCCAACTGGTCTGAGATGGGCACCACCACTGGAGGAGGTGGCCCCGGAGAAGGAGACCGGGGAGCAGGAGAGGGGCTCGCGGGAGCCTTGGCACGACGGGGAACGCGACGGGGGACTCGGCGCCTACCAGCGGCGCTCGACTCGGCCTGGTCGCCCTCAGCAGGTATAGGTGGCTGAGGAAGGCCCGCGATCCAGCGCACACGCCCGTGGCGAGCAACCAAGTGCTGGTGGCGGAGAGTAGGCTCGCCGAGTGGGGTCGGTGCGCGGACCAATGTCATCCCTGTGTAGTCCACCTCGTAGTTGCGGGCCAAGGCGGTGATCACCGGGCCGCAAATGAGGCTGCGAGTCGTGCTAATGGCTGCCTTAGTGAACGTCCGGGCAAGCACAGAGCCCAGCTGGATGGTGTCCTCAGAACGACCCATCGCATGCATCAACCAGAGAGTTCGGAGTGTGACCCGGTTGGACGAGCCCTGGCTGGGTGTGTAAGAAGTGCACATCAGGTGGTTGAGGATCCGCCACTCCGGACGGAGGAGAGGTGCCCGCGTCTGGCTGGCCACGTACTCTTCATCCACACTGTCCGGCAGGCAAATGCTCTGAAAGTACGCCTGGGAAGCGAAGTCCGTGGGATCAGCATGGTCGGAGTTCCCCTTCGAGTTGTGGTGGAAGGTGGCATAGAACTCCCAGACCAGCTCCTTGTAGGTCGGCTCGGCGAGGGTGAGAAGACGCCGCCAAGCAGGGGAGCGGACCGCGGCCTCCATTTGTGGCCTGGCATGGAGCTCCTCGAACACCTCCCAATCGAGGTGAAAGTGCTCGGCGATGCTGCGGGTACGGAGGTTCCGCAGCTTATGGCGCTGGACGATGTTCATCTGGTCGAGATAATCCTCCATGATCCTTCAAAACACAATGAAGGAAAAAGTGTACACAAGCAAACGGGTCAATGTTAGGCCAAACCCACACCGGGAGCCCTCATATCGAATGATATGGACAGTGGACTAGACTCCCGGCGACACAAACATACCCATCATACGAGAATTCCACAACAAAATACACCGGGGACCCTCAAATCGAGCGATTCGGACAGTGGACTAGGCCACCGGTGAAACAATCATACCACAACTATACTAAATAGCACCAATCGAGGTATCACAGAAAAATCACATATCACGCATACCATGCAACATGCAATCAGCCCAATCATCCCCCAAACCCAAAATATTCCCAAACCATTCATTCCACAATCAGAAGTTCTTCACCTAACTCTAGGAATCGATTCTCCATAAATAACAGAAAAGACGAGGAGAACACACCTGGAGACGCAAGAAGAGACCACGAGAGAGGTGAAGAAAGTGGAAAGAAGCACCCAAAGTCGCCGGAAAACACACCGGAGACTCGCCGGAAAACTCACCGCCGGCGACCCAACCTCAGCCAAACCAGCCCAAATCTTTGGGGAATGTGCTCCTCGACGCCAGGAGTGTGGGGGCGCTCGCGGTTTGTGATTTGGAGGTCGGGAGAGGAAGTTATGGCCGGAAAACCGAAGGAGAAGGTGAAGGGGGCGATTTTCCGGCGAGGGGGGCTGGGAGAGTTTGAAAAAAATGACTGATCTGGGCGGTGGGGGCTGAAAATTTGATTTTATAGGGTGGGAGCGAAACACGGGCGGGGCAGAACACGGCCGTGTTCTGCCTGCTCCGCGCCCGTGTTTTCCCTCATTAAAACACGGGCGGGCTCCTTTCAAAACACGGCCGTGTTTTTGAAAGGCCGGTGCCCGTGCTTTTTATGCCGAGGCCAAAAGGCAAAACACGGGCGGGTCAGGGCAAAGCACGGCCGTGTTTTGACCCCCTGCTGCCCGTGTTTTTACTGCCGAGCCTAAAATGCTTTTTTTTCAATTTTCAATCTCAAACCACCAAGTTTCATTCGTGCCCCGGCTCTAAAATTTACCCAATCACACATCAAAATGAACCGCCCGAGGCACGAAAAACTTTCCAGAATGACTCCAGACAGACTCAAAAACCGACAAAGATGAAATAAATGAATAAAAACAAAGGTAGAAATGCAAACCGTGGTGGGGTTGCCTCCCCACAAGCGCTTCTTTACCGTCTTTTAGCTGGACGCCAATTGCGGAACTAAGGGTCCGCGAGCTCCACTGCTAACTCCGCACGTTCGACCTCGTCTCCCAGGTAGAGCTTGAGACGATGGCCATTCACTTTAAACGGCTCAGTTTGCGGGTTAGCAATCTCAATCGTGCCATACGGGAACACCTGTGTGACCGTGTACGGTCCAGACCACCGGGAACGGAGTTTTCCGGGAAAGAGCTTCAGGCGAGAGTTATAAAGGAGAACTCGATCACCAACCTGGAACTCTTTCGGACCCCACAACCGTGTATCGTGTAGGCGCTTCGTGCGCTCCTTGTACAGCTTGGTGTTCTCATAGGCGTGATAACGCCACTCTTCCAGCTCCAACATCTGCATTTTTCGCTCAACACCTGCAACACTAACATCCAAGTTTAGCAGCTTAAGGGCCCAGAAGGCCTTGTGCTCTAGCTCCACGGGCAAATGGCATGCCTTTCCATAGACAAGCCGGTACGGTGAGGTACCAATGGGCGTCTTGTAGGCAGTGCGATATGCCCACAGAGCATCATCGAGCTTGGTGGACCAATCCTTGCGGGATAGGTTCACCGTCTTCTCCAAGATCCGCTTGAGCTCCCGGTTCGTCAGCTCGGCCTGGCCACTGGTTTGAGGATGGTAGGCCACGGACACCTTATGAGTTACACCATAGCGAGACAACAATTTATCTAACTGACCCTGGAAATGGGTGCCTCGGTCGCTTATGATGGCTCTAGGTGTCCCGAACCGGGAGAATAGCTGCTTCAGAAAACCACAAACACGTCTAGCATCATTGGTGGGCAAAGCTTGCGCCTCAGCCCACCTAGAGACGTAGTCAACAGCGACAAGGATATATGTATTACCAAAGGATGGAGGGAAGGGGCCCATGAAGTCGAAACCCCAGACATCAAAAATCTCACAAGTAATAAACACATTCTGGGGCATCTCATCACGGGCAGAGATGTTACCTGACCTCTGGCATCGGTCGCACCTGCGTGCGAAGGCGTCTGCGTCCTTGAAGAGCGTGGGCCAGTAGAAGCCCGACTGGAGCACCTTCCTCGCCGTGCGGTTTCCTCCGTGGTGACCGCCAACAGGTCCTTCATGACAGTGAGATAGAATGCCCTCCATCTCACTCTCCATAACACATCGACGGATGATCCCGTCGGCTCCGATCCTGAAGAGATGAGGGTCATCCCAGAAGTAGTACTTCAGGTCGGAGAAGAACTTCCTCTTGGCGTGAGTTGTCATCCCCTTGGGCAGCTGCTGGCCCACAAGATAATTTGAAAAATCAGAATACCAGGGGGTGACACTCTCCACCAGGCACATCATCATCAGTCTCTCATCTGGAAAGGAGTCATTGATCTCCTCCTCGAGGTTGTCCACAGGGGGTGCGTCTAACCGGGAGAGGTGATCGGCAACAACATTCTCCGCTCCCTTCTTGTCCCGAATCTCAATGTCAAACTCCTGCAGCACTAAGATCCATCGTATGAGCCTAGGCTTGGCATCAGCCTTGCTCATCAAGTATCAAATCGCGGAGTGATCAGTATACACAGTCACATGGGACAAGACCAGATAAGGACGAAATTTATAGAAGGCAAACACCACCGCGAGCAGCTCTTTCTCCGTGGTGGTGTAGTTCTCCTGGGCATCATTCAAGGTCTTCAAGGCGTAGAAATTGAGTGCCACTATTAAGCACTTAATCGAGGCACAACCAGATATCACCATCAAAGTTATCGTGGCTGAGGTGAAAGATCTTCATTCATACACAATTAGGTACAAGAAGGCATGACATGAAAAACAAAATGACATGGCTGACATGTATGGCGACTGAGACGACTCATACACTATCCTTCCTAGATTGATGAAGGAGTCTAACCCTGGTACTGTTTTTATGTCGTAGTTCAACAATGTAGAAACCATGGACCGAGTTCGGGTCTAAAATGAGCTTATTTTCACTACTTATATTGGTCATTCAGGCCATGCATTGATGGGTTCGATTTCTGCCTTCCAGCGATCCAATTAGATGACACCTTCCTTTCTGGAAAGTACAAGGGAACCCTTCTTATTTCCACTGGTGTTGATGAGAATATGTAGATTTTTCCATTTGCATTTGCTCTAGTTTAGGGGGAGAATAATTTAAGTTGGGCTTGGTTTTTTTGAGTAACTATATGACAACGTCACACAACAACAGGGCATCACGATCATTTTCGACCGGCACGTTGGGATTAGACATGTCGTGTATGACTTTCCTAATGAATGGGGGTGGACGTGGCATTGGTGCATTCGCCATTTTCTAGCCAATTACAACACAAATATGACACGAAGATCGTCAAAAATTCTTTGTGGCATGAACGTATATTTTTTTGGTATCATGTTCCTATTTTTGTGCCTAGATTTTATCCTATATTAAATAATTTATATTTTTTTCCATCTTGAAGCGATTTCTAACCAACCCAAAAAATATGAAAAGAAGATGAAGATTATGTGACATATAAACCAGGAGGGGGCAACATGGGCTGAGCAGCAGGGTCTGCACATGTGGACCTTTCATATAGATGATGGAGTTAGGTTTGGGAGCTCCACTACTAACCATGGTGAAAATATAGATGGAGTGTACGAAGGCCTTCAAGCAATGCCTATTTCAACAATAGTGGAGTTGACCTACTAGAGGGCCAACGAGTGGTTTGTCAAAAGAACATAACACCACTGGCTTGCTTTGTACCCAGCCTCGAACATCCACATAGCTCCCGATACATTGTAGCTAAATAGTCGATCCCCAACTCTTTGCCCCGATCACGTCCCAATCACCAAGGAGCAATGGTAGCCACATGAAATTTATCCACCTATTCGCCTTGTTCGGAAACAACACTCCACCAACCAAGGTGATGAGATAAACGCAGGCATACCGCTCCACTTGATCTTCTCTGGTGAATGCATCCAATTGATCACCTCCTCCGTTATATGATCAACGAGCCACAGGATTGATACTTGACCCACGTGAAATGGCGGTTGACGATGTCCCTCTATTTTTGTCGGCATGTTGAATCCCAAACGCTAAAAAATCAGTGGCCCCCAATGATCAGCGACTCAATGAGGATGGCGACATCTCGCAGTGTGATTGTCATTTCCCCCTCGGGAAAGTGGAAGGTATATGTCTCGGAAAGCCACCTCTTTGACATAGTTGTGAATAGTTCGTTGTCAATCTCCATCTTCACGACGTTTCCAACCCCCGCCCTTTCTAGATAGGGCGAGAGTCGACCGTGAAATGGGGGCAAGCACCTGGTCCCTCTAGGATTTTAAAGGTAGGGCGTGCCTACCGGATTGTGGTTCTAAATCGCATGGGATCAATGATTTGCTTTGCTCGATTAAATATTGTGCATCCCTCAGGCTAGGTTGGTCATACAATCTAGGATCGTAAATATCCGTCGCCATCAATCATTTCAATACAATCATATAAAATTATTGATTGTAAGCAAATCATGAAAATACAATATGTTCAAATACAATGAAAACTTTTTTTTAGTATTTTGGGCAAAAATCATAAGTATTCAAAAAACAAACCTTTAATCATGGTTATTTTACTAAGACAGTGGTCTTATAGCTTCGGTCATGATTCACCTTGATAAATAACAAAGAAATATAAAATATATGACGTATCTATGAGTCTCTTCGCCCATTTTTGGCAGAAGCGGGACGGAGGTTCAGCCGGGTTTTTAGCGGGACAAAGTTTTTTGAGAACTCAAGGAAACATGATCAGATGTGGAAGATCCACAGTCACAGAGCATACAGGTATTCCTTGAGTGGCGAGGTGAGGAAGATTGTGGTGGTGGTGTGAATGAAATGAGGAAGGGTGTCTATTTATAGACTGAAGGGGAGCCAAGATCGTGTTTGTCACATGTGATGTGCGTCTGGAGTGTAGGAGAGATCGCGCCTGGATCGAGGCCTTCGAAAGCGATCAACGATTGATCACTTTCCACCTCAGCTATTCGCTCCTCCCCTTTCCAAAATCGCATCCCACGTTAGCGTTCAACGTCATTGGTAATAGCTAATTGCGTCTCTAAAAAATGATTAACACGGATCGCATCCTTGAAAAGCGATCGAGTGGTTAATTGCTTGCCATGTTAGCGATCCAATCTGATTGACTTCGACCAAAGGAATCTTTCCTAAATCGCGTTTGGGTAAGGCAATTTACATATATATCGCCTTTGTCGGATGTGATCTAGGGGAAAACATGTGTTTTTATAAAAACTACTGTATTTGGAGATTTTTTTAAAGAACTAGTGTATTACGTGAAAAAACCCAAAACAAAAAGCACAATCGCTGACCACAACAATGATAAAAAAAAATGTGAACGACAACAACACCCAAAAAATTGACCGTGGTAAGAAAAAAGACAAAAAAACAATAGAAAGATATAAGAAAAAACTTTGAATCGCAAATAAAATCTACAAAAATTGAGTAAGGAAAAAAATGAAGTCAGATGGACATGGGAATCAAAAGGTCATTTTAATTTTAACAGATTGCCCTTAATCTCCAAAACAACGAAGTCTTGATAAGTTTTGAGCTGATCTTGACCGCTACTAGCATATGTGATCATGGGTATGATCCTACGTTTACGGTCATGATTTTGAGATCGCGATCAAGGTTGATGTTTGTGATCTACCCTCTCCTGGTCGTGAACCACTCAGTGTCTTGTAAAAAAGACCATCAAACAGGGGGTACATCACGAACGTGATCTCCAACTTCTTGATTGTGATGTTCAAGACCTAGCTCACGTTCATGGATCATTATAAAAAAATGAACATGATAGCATCTAACAATGAGGGTATGATCATGCCCAATTTAGGTGGTATTAGTTTTATATTTTGAGTCTATATGCAATGACAACCTACTTGTACCTACCATAGTACCAAATAAAATATCTAACATATAGATAGCTTATGATAATCTTTGAGTTTAGGAACTCTTCATCACTGAGTACATAATATGATCTTCATATGATGACTATGCTCAATAATGGCTTAATGAGTATCTTTATTTAGTTTCTGAGCGATCTCCTTGAGATCGGTCCGACAATATTCCTTGCTATAACTTTCATACTTACTTATGTAAAACATTGTTAAATTATCCTACATGCCCGTCTTTTTGCATTGTGTCAATCCATAGCAACAAAACAATTGACTATAGTCTATAGGCAATATAGAAATTGAATCCAAAATTTGTTATCTATCCAAACATAAAACAAATACATTACCCTAGGTCACTAAAACGATTATGTTTCACATTTTAGCCGATCAACTTTAGTTAAATGTTTGGGTAGTAGCTTTCAAGCAATGATTGTGAGACTGTAACGAATGTTATATCGAAAATGTCATTATAAATTATGTTTTAATAAAATTGTGATAATCGTTAATTCGACCGTTACATAACACATGAATATTATCTAATACCTTATATTTTCGGTCCAACCGGACTATAGGTTATGCTTTCTAACCCATTGCTTTCAAGTCCAGAGGTTGCCAACACAACACGCAGCGCAACAACAGTGAATATATATAAGAAAGACGAGAGAAAATTCCATAGTCCAGGGTCTAGAGAGAGAGAGAAAATACGTAGGATTTGGGTAGTGATTCGGCGGAGTTAATCGGTGGGAGAATCCAGCGGAGGCGAAGCGATTTGATGAATAAAGAAAGTAAGAAAGGGATTCTTGGTGAGGATAGATAGACCAGGCGGTTGATATTTCGACTGGGTTTGGGGACGGAAAGTGAATTTTTTGAGCAAAAGGGCTTGGAAAAGAGAAGTGGATAAAGGAGAAAGCCAAAGGCATTGGCGTTGGAGCTTCGTCCTTTAGGGACGGAGGAAGGAGAAGTTTCTTCTAGACCGAAGACGATTTCTGAAGGAGACTGGTCCACATCAGGATCGTTCTCTGCCATCAGTTCTCCAGGTCTGTGCTCTGAGTTGAAGTCTTTGGAGATCTTTTTCTTGGAAATTGATGATCTGCTGTTAGCCCATTTTGTATATATAGGGTGATAGTTTCTAGTTCTACTGTGTATTGATGATATTTTTCTGTCTGCTTGCGTAGGAAGTCCTCCCTTGCGATTACTCAGACAGTTCCTCTATAACATCCAGCAATTGATTTGTGCTTCTTCATTTGTATGATATATGGGCTGAGGTGCACATTTCATGGGAGGTGTAGAGGACGATGAACCAGCATCGAAACGTATGAAATTAGCCTGTAGAGAGTTGAAAGGCAATCCAAACGATTCTTTGCTATCAGAGCCAAGTTTTGGGTCTTCAAGAGACTTGATGGCCCGCCTCCTGCAATCTGAAGAAGATGAGGTCATTGGTTCAAAAGGGGTCATTAAAAAAGTTGAATTCGTCCAGATAATAGCCAAAGCCTTGTATTCTCTTGGATACAAGAAGAGCGGTGCCCATCTAGAAGAAGAGTCAGGCATACCCTTACACTCCTCTGCAGTGGACATGTTTATGCACCAGATTCTTGATGGCAATTGGGGTGAAAGTGTTGCTACGTTACATAGCATTGGGTTAAAGGATGAAAGTACTGTTAAGTCGGCCTCTTTTCTGATACTGGAGCAGAAATTTTTTGAGCTTTTGGACGGGGGCAAAATCATGGATGCTCTGAAAACTTTGAGGACTGAGATTGCTCATCTGTGTGCTAGTAGCAATCAGCTTCGGGAGCTTTCTTCAAACCTTGTGTCTTTTTCACATGGTGCTTCAGTGGGGTCTTCTAATCAGGTTAATCTGAGGGCCAAGTCTCGGCCAAAGCTGCTGCAGGAATTACAAGAGCTTCTCCCCCCGACCATTATGGTACCAGAAAGGCGGTTAGAACAGTTAGTTGAGCAGGCTCTGACCTTGCAGCGAGATGCCTGCGTCTTTCATAACTCATTGGACAGAGAAATTTCATTGTACACAGATCATCAGTGTGGAAGAGATCAGATTCCATCTCGAACACTACAGGTTTGAACATTTTTACAGCAATGTTGCTTCTTTCTGAACTACTTTTCACTCTCATACAATTCGTAAATGCAATGAGCTTTATAAGGCCACAGTTTGCCTTGTAGTTGAGAAATGCTTCCTTGGTATTGTTAATGAGATGTAAAACTGATTATGTAAATACATTTTGGAGACGGTTTGCAGTTTGTACATTTGTTAGAAGTGAAAATAAAGCATGTCTATTAATGGTTGTAGTTGTGGTGTCAACTGCAAATAAATCTTTAGGTTGTAGACTATATGAAAGTTGGTCATAAGATCCCATTATTGGAATCATTGAACTGATAACATTTAGCGAGTGAGAGCTTGTTGTGTTGATCCTTAAACTGCATGTGTGGGCCGAGGAGGCTGCCCTGAGATTTTTCATCGGTAAAAAGGGAAGGAGTCCTTTATCTATCTATCAGGGGGCCCTTATGGTAGTCCACAAAGAAGATCGAACTTAAATAGCTTACACAAGTTTGATTTGATCCTCACAGCTGATCTCTTAACAAGGAACCCTTCTCTAGATACCAGTTCTGACTTCTGAGCTTGAAACATGCATAAGACTAGAGATTCTTGAATGATAATCACGTTCGTTAGTTGTATTTTTGCACAAGGAATTGTTTAGGCAATTTCCGCTGCAGAGTTTTTATGTATTTTTTGTGCTACTAAAGTTAAAAAGAGAGAACCACATTGAAGAAGGGTATGAATGTGTTAAGAAGTACAGCCATAAACTTTTTTTTCCCCTCAATTTGTGTGGTTGTATATGCTGAGACAATACCCTCCATGTATAGCTGTGTTCTTTCATGTAAAAAATTCAGATCCACCCAACTAAGATTTTTCTATACTTCTATATGATATGTATGTTAATCTAGTTCACTCTCTGAGGTAGACTATTGATTATGCCATTTCCAACAAAAACTGTGTGGACCAGAATAGGGGTTAATACTTTACTTATCTGTTTGTTTCAGACTTGTTTAGGTACTAATTAAATGCTTTTGCTGGCACAATTTCATTACGCCCTAATCCTTATTTTTTTCTGGACAGATATTAGAAGCACACTCTGATGAAGTCTGGTTCTTGAATTTTTCTCATAATGGGAAGTATTTAGCTTCCTCCTCTAATGATCAGTCAGCAATCATATGGGAGGTACAAATTATTTATTTTGGCATTGGAAAAAGTTTGTAGCATTTTCTGGAGCTTTTCCACATAAGGATCTGTTGTGGTGTTTTGGTTTCTTAAAGAAGCGTCCAAGTTAATATTGAACTTCATGTGTTTAATTAAGTCCAGTAGAGTAAATCGCTTCTTTTTTTTTTTTTTTTTGGTTGAAAGTAAATCGCTTCTTCAAGTGGGTATTGAGAAGTTTTTTTGCTGTAGACATTTAGTTGTTCTCTCTTGTTATTTATTCACTTCCTCTATGAAATGGCTTCTGGTTTAGCCATTGAAGATCTTGTGTGTCTATGCATAGTTTATTTGGATGGAAAGTTTTTGGTTGGACAGTGTTCTTGTTGTCACAATGTGGTGTTGTGGATCATGGTGAAGGAAATTCATGGGGCACAAGCCATAACATACCTTTCGAAACAATTTATTTTTAGTCTCCGCAAACAAAATTCGGACTATCATGTGTTAGTTGTTTACCAATTTTTACTGTCTGTCTGTTTATGAACTCTGCACACGGTGTGGCCTGCAGCAGCCAGGCACACTAGCTTTATGTTTTCTAATCCTTGTTCTTGTTATCATTCTGTCTTCCTTCTTCAGTACTAATGATATTTTGCCAATTTATTTTTTCCCAGGTCGGTACAAATGGCGAAGTTTCTTTAAAGCATAAACTGTCTGGCCACCATAAACCTGTATCCTCTGTTTCGTGGAGTTCTGATGATGGTAAACTCCTCACTTGTGGCGTTGAGGAGTCTGTTAGATGCTGGGATGTGTCATCTGGTGAATGCCTCCATGTTTATGAGAAATCTGGGCCTGGTCTAGTTTCCTGTGGATGGTCTCCAGATGGGAAATCGATATTTTCTGGTGTTAATGATAGGAGCATATGCATGTGGGATTTGGATGGGAAGGAGGTAGAGAATTGGAAAGGTCAACGAACTCTCAGAATTTCAGATTTGGAAATCACTAGGGATGGGAAGCAAATTATGTCCATATTCAAGGAAACTGCAATTCTTTTATT